TGTGTTTTACCTTGGTATCTGACCTCTATAAAACCCAGTGTGTGTTGCGTCGAGTCACGCTTGATTTCTCGAAATAGGAGGAGACATCAAAGCCAAATTATAATTATTTAGATTACTGTCTTCCCATTACACTTTTAGTGACGAGGGGAAGTGTCGTGAAACCTTATAAGTGTTGTGTGTGTTGGGATCACCTAGCTTAGAGTCACGTGCATAAAATTTATCATGAAAGTAAAAATATCGATTCAGTTTTAAACTGAAATCGTTTCTGAATTAAGCTATATTCTGTTGTGTCAACAACGTTTTTAATATAAAGAAAAACAACAAACCTCTTCAATCAACGGAGACTCTAAGTTAATAAATGTATATAAACATAGTAGTACTGTCTGTTGTATGTCCATGTAACTACTTCGCAGGCTATGGATGGATCTTCACCAAAATTGGCATGGAGGTTCATTAGGTCCATGCGGGGATACATACAAATTTCCAGTTTTGCATTTTGCGGTTTTCATGGACTTATTTTTACCACTACTTCCCCTCCTGTAGATGGATCTTCACCAAATTTGACATGAACGTTTGTTGGGCCCATGCAGAGAATTTCGCATTATTTTCCCATATTTCGTACTTTTCCAATTGATAATTTTGGTGGGGACACACCACCTGGCGACAGTACTTTCTACTGTGAATTCAACATCGAGATTTGTAACAAATTTAAATTTTATTATTCATTAAAATATAGGTGTAAGTACTGATATAAACAGATTTGTGTTTATGTTTGTTTATCAATTATGATATACAGTAAGTTACTACCCTCTCCCCCGCGTGTCTGTCTGTGTTTCCGCGTGCGTATCTCAAAAACTAATTGCCCGATGTACACGAAAGTTTTACATAAGAAGGGAAGTCAGCACGGGACAGTCCTCCCTAAATTTGGATCAGATCCGGATTCTGGATCACTTTGAACCAATTTTTTTATAATGGAGAAATAGGGCATTTTCGAGATTTTTGGTTAATAACTCTGTATGATCGGATTTGTACCAAATGGGCACATTAAAGTTGAATCTCTTCATCACGTTACAAAAAAAATGATCCGGATCGTTGATCATTCTGGATCTGAGAAAGATTTTCTGAGTATTCGAAAGTAAATTTAACGTTATCCAATATAAACGGATGCAGTCTTGAAAAGAAGCGGCGGGACGAGGGCATGCAATCTCTCTGTTTGCCCTTCTTTTGTTAGTATTGAAACTTCTGGGCTGGGAATACCAAGTTCTTGTCATACGGGTGCCATATAAGAGTGACGGTCAAACCTGCTGCTCGATCTCACAAAAATAGCCTAAGATTTGTCGTGAGTAATGTTGCCTATCTACCTGTCGTGGGTAATGTTGCCTATCTACCTGTCGTGGGTAATGTTGCCTGTCTACCTGTCGTGAATAATGTTGCCTATCTATCTGTCGTGAATAATGTTGCCTATCTACCTGTCGTGAGTAATGTTGCCTATCTACCTGTCGTGAATAATGTTGCCTATCTATCTGTTAGATAGGCAACATTATTCACGACAGGTAGATAGGCAACATTACTCACGACAGGTAGATAGGCAACATTACTCACGACAGGTAGATAGGCAACATTATTCACGACAGGTAGATAGGCAACATTACTCACGACAGGTAGATAGGCAACATTACTCACGACAGGTAGATAGGCAACATTATTCACGATGACCTTCCTGATGTCATCCTGTATCATTGTGTCAAGTTTGGTTCTGATTAATCAATAAATGTGGAAACGTTTAAGGAACAGACATGACGTGATAGATATACGACTGTGTATTTTTTCCAGGACACACGCTTTGTTTTATGTAGCAGATATTTAATTTCACAAAAGCTACTTGGAGGATATTTGATCTAGCTTTAGATAGGTAAGTAGGCAACATTATTCACGACAGGTAGATAGGCAACATTATTCACGACAGGTAGATAGGCAACATTATTCACGACAGGTAATAGGCAACATTACTTCACGACAGGATATTCACACATATATTGACGTTTATGTATATAGAATATGGGGGTCAATCCCCACCCCTTCAAACGTTTAAGGAACACTGGATACGTTACTGACTGTGGTGTTTGTTGAATACTGTACTGGATACGTTACTGACTGTGGTGTTTGTTAAATACTGTAGTGAATACGTTACTGACTGTGGTGTTTGTTGAATACTGTAGTGAATACGTTACTGACTGTGGTGTTTGTTGAATACTGTACTGGATACGTTACTGACTGTGGTGTTTGTTAAATACTGTATTTTAATTGGTACTCTAGCCTAGTCATTATTTGGACAAGATTTTCGGACTTCCCTATTTTTATTTATATTCTGGACTCTATGTATTCACTAGCTGGAGTATCCGTCCGTTGGGTGAAGTAAAAACTCGTTTGTAACAAAGGATAGGAAATTGTGCTTCTATTTTATTTCTTAACATAATAAACATTAAAAGTACAATAAAAATACATAAAGGTACCAGTACTGAAAAGAAAGACACACTGTTTTCAAGAATTCTATCAATATGAACTTAAATGGGGGGTCCAACCCCCTCATGACCTTCCTTATATCTTGTATCACTGTCAAGTTGTGTTGATTTGGTAGTTTTTTCCCGAAATTAGATGTGGGGGGTCCAACCCCAACCCCTTCATGACCTTCCTCATGTATGTCATCCTGTATCACTGTGTCAAGTTGTGTTGATTTGGTAGTTTTTCCGAAATTAAATGGGGGGGGGGTCCAATTCCCTCATGACCTTCCTCACATCCTGTATCACTGTGTCAAGTTTGGTGCTGATTAATCAATAAATGTGTTTACAGTATTCAACAAACACCACAGTCAGTAACGTATTTACTACAGTATTCAACAAACACCACAGTCAGTAACGTATTCACTACAGTATTCAACAAACACCACAGTCAGTAACGTATTCACTAAAGTATTCAACAAACACCATAAACAGTAACGTATTCACTACAGTATTCAACAAACACCACAGTCAGTAACGTATCCACTGTAGTATTTATTCTTCGGCACTAAAAACGTACAAATTCGGAATATTTTCTTGTGTATGATTAAAAGCATTTCGGCTGTTCGCGGTGTTGAAATCAGTTGTTTTGAACGCAATACAATAAGTTCTTACTCACCAAAAAGTGATAAAAATACGACCGAAAAGAAGCGGGCCCACGATCCGTTTTTACAAAAATTTTCCTACCTCACTGAGGTGACCGTGGGAACGCGTGTCATGAAATCGGTCAGCGTTTCGATTCAACGAATAACACCTGAGGCCAAAACGCCGCCCGAAAAGAGGAGGCATGTCACTCTTGTAAGTCCTAACTGATGAAATTATAAAAGTTCACCGTTTGGTAGGCCAAATCTTACATAAAATATGGAAAACTAAGACGTTGTATTACTTTGAAACGTAAACTGTGCCAGAATATTCAACTTGGAGAACATCCTAAAACTTTTCAAGAAAAAAAAAACTTCTTCAACACTTGTGGAGAACGAATGAAACACATACAAGTTTTAACCTTAACACAAGTTTAAATCTTGTATAAACACATAAACTTAACATTAATAAATAACTAATTCCATAACATACTGCTTAAAAACGAACATCTTACACAGACTGTTTAGAAACCTAACACCTTACACACATAGTTTAAAACCTAATTCCTTACAAATGTTATTTAAAAACGAATACCTTCTTTGAGGTTTCTTGCATATTTTATTGACTGCTACAAAACGCTTAGTCAAGCTTACCTACGTTAAAGACTTTGGAAGCTTGTGGTTAAATGTAAAATTATGGTACTAATTTGCCTGTTAAATCTGTGTAATTGATTTATTTGGACTTAACCACATATAACAATGACGTTGAAGAAATATTGAATGATAATATCTTGTAACTGAAAATATATAGTACCAACACAACTACACTGTTAGTGTTAAAATGTCACCTGCTAAAGTGAACCTAATTTACGTTGTTATTGCATCTGAACAACTTATCAATACCATACTTATCTACGTTTTGATAATAACTTCGCACAAAGTAAGTTTAAGTTTAATAATTCAAACAGCCGAAAAGCATTTATGTATGCCTTTAGTTTTTAAAACAAATCCGGTTAATACAATCAAGAATTGTATATACTATAATATTAATATATAATACAGGCCAAATTCGGCAGTAAGTTTTGTTTCTTGTTCTTGTAAGTTGTACGAAGAAATATAAATTGGAAGTGAACCAAGTCTAGATTTTGTGGTAATGTCAAAAGGTACACTTCTTTAGGTATTCAGTACAGTATTCAGCAAACACCATAATCAGTAACGTATCCAGTAATATATAGTATAGTATATATATATGAAAAATTCGGCAGTAAGTTTTGTTTCTTGTTCTTGTAAGTTGTACGAAGAAATATAAATTGGAAGTGAACCAAGTCTAGATTTTGTGGTAATGTCAAAAGGTACACTTCTTTAGGTATTACATTATCAGTTAAACCCCAACAGTCAACAAGTTACCCTCTACAGACACCAGTTAATGACACTTCCCACCTTAAGTTAAGATCTCTGGCTTACCTTGAACGATACACGGAAAGAAAGTGATTAGAGCGACGGAGGCCAAAACGTAGACGACCAGACGACTTCGCATTGTCGTTAAAAAATCCACAGAGTGGTGTCCACAATTCGTATTTTTGTGTTTCAGTCACTCAAAATGACATTTTAAATATCCACTGGATTTGTTCTTCCAAGCGTAATTCATCAAACGCGCACTGGAATCTTACTATGTTAAATTGTAAACCTATGTCAGTACGGCCCCCACACTCGCCATCCAGTAGCGACTTCACTCTCCCGTGATGTTAACGTTAATAAATTTGGACATGAATTAGCAAAGGATAGGTTGTGTTGTATCCTTCCGCGCACCAACTTTGAAGTTGTTTTGAAAGACATTTTGAGAATTTGATCATCGTTTTATTGTCATATGTTTCCGAAACTATACCATATCGAGAAGTTTTAATCAAATCTTGAATCTTTTAGTTTCATATGTTATATTACAAGATTCTAAATATGCGCACTTACTTCTGAGTTAGTTCACATTCCTACGCCTATTGGTAACAAAGCGCGCTGAATTCTTAGAGAATTACATGCCACCTTCCGGAGTTTAGCGGGAAAGAAAGAAAATATTAGTTTTATTAAGAAAAATCCAAGCGTTGACTTGGTACTTTAATTTAAGTGAGGTGTTTAACTTGATTTAACATGTTAAGATTTCAACGAATAGTATTAAAATATACATTTGAGAAAAGCAAGATAAAACGTGACTTATTTTGTGGCTCAGAAAAAAATTAGGAAAAAAACATCGTTCAAAATTTGTGATGATAAATTCAGCTATTGTGATTGGGTTAGTGAATGATGAAGGAGTTTTCAAGTCCATCCAGAAGAAAATGGCGTACCAACTTTACAAACTTTATGACTTAATTTCTTTTTATATAATAATATTTATAGGTTATATTCGAAAGTTATTTTATATTGCAAATATTCTGTTTAAAGATATATACATATCTGAGAAAACATGCTGACTGTTTGAAAATTTTCAGAAAAACATTTATATATACACTATAAATTGACTTGAAGTATGACTGTGCTACTGTTCGCAAGGGAACAGTTATACAAATAAAAGTACTTTATTAGCTCGCCGATGTTAAACTATTATTTCCGGTTACGATGTAATTTCTTGTATTTTGAACTACTTCCCCTAACGACAGAATAGGATCATCTACTTCCGGTGACAATAGAATATGTTGAACGACTTTCTATGATAACAGAATATGTTGACCTGTTTCCGATGACAGTATAATTTATTGCCTACTTCCGGTGACAATGGAATGTGTTGAACTACTTTCTATGATGACAGTATATGTTGACCTGCTTCCGATGACAGCATAATTTGTTGTCTACTTCCGGTGGCAATAAAATGTTTTGGTCTACTTCCGGTGACAATAGAATACGTTGACCTACTTCCTGTGACAATAGAATATGTTGAACTACTTCCGGTGACCTATTTCCGTTTATAATATGGTTTATTGTCTTTCATGTCAGTTTGAAAGCTCTAATGCACTTATTATTAACGTTCTTATACATCGTACAGCTTTATTTTGTTATATTTTGGTGCGCAGAAATCAAAATCTAATGACTTAAACAAGTAATTGAAACACAGGGATTTAATGAAAACAATCAACACCTGCATACTTGAGTTATTCATTAGTCGGGAAAGTCTAAGCACAAATGACCGAATGTTGGCTTGACTACTAATTCAAGTAGTTTAATATGGTATCTCAATTGACAAGATACATCGGTGTCATAGTTACGATTCAAACTAAGTTACTTAGGCAACACAATACTAGAGTTAAATAACTCGCAGTAACATGAAACGAAACGTTGATCCTATATCAAATTCTTCGAACTTTACGAACACAAATGTATATTGAAATTTTTGTTTACCGAAACGTTGGTAATTATTAAATTATGGCCGAAACGTTGAAAATTACAATTTGACTTAATCACGTCAGAAACGTTGAAAACTAGTAAATTTATTTGATAATGGCCGAAAAATAAATTAATATCATCATGACGTCAGAGTCATTTTCTGACGTAGTTTGTCCGTAAGAATTTTTTCGATAGATGATAACGTTTCCTTTTAAGACACAAAGGTCGACTTCTCTGAATATTAGTACAATTTTTATCAACTGAGCTAATTAAACTGTATAAAACAAGACCAATACGCATTGTTAAATACAAATCCTCATGTGACGTAGTTCAGTCGCTCGAGAGAGATGTGCTAGACTGGTTGCATGTGCGCGCTCTTGCTTTCAGCGATCACCAACAGCTAACACTATTTGTGGTTTAAAATAGTATCGGATTGATAAGTTATAATTCAAACGCCAAAAGACTGTGAAATATTGGAAACCAACTAGCCTAAGATTTGTGATCAAAATCACATGAACTGCAGATTTTTTACCCACAATCCTTTTAAGTTGTCCATTTCGGATTTCAAATGTGTATACTGCAGACATAAATAATGTAGGAGATACAATTTTGTCTCTCATCGTTAACCCCAACTAAGTAATTCTGGTATTGAACGAAATGCCTCTTGGGCAGTGACAAAAAAATACATCTAAAATGGTATTTTACATCCTTTGAAATTAAAAACCTGGCATGGCCTTATGATTAGGGCACTCGACTCGAAATATGCAAGTTACGGATTCGAATTCCGTTACAAACAAGCTCACCTTTTCAGTCGTGGGGACGTTATAATGTGACGGCCAATCCCACTATTCGTTGGTAAAGAGTAGCCCAAGAGTTGGCGGTGGGTGATGTTGACTAGCTACTTTCCTTGTAGTCTATTACTTCAAAATTAGGGATAACTAATGCAGATAGCCCTCGAATATCTTTGCGTGAAATTAAACAACACAAACTGATATTATTATGAATGAGTGTGTGGTGGGAGAAACAGTAACACACGCGATTCTTATGATATACGTCAGGCCTAGAGTTAGCTTATATCTATAAATTTTAATTAGTTACAACCAATATATTGATAATTATGACGTTTAGCGCGCCTACAACATGTGCGACTTATTGCCAACTAATTAAAATTGAGTTTTTACTTTTTCAAAGCGATTTGCTGTTACTTTATTTTCTATGTCCACAAAGAAGTTATCCCTTCCTATACGTCACAGTTACTGTGTTTGTTATGTCCACAAAGAAGTTACCACTTCCTATACGTCACAGTTACTGTGTTTGTTATGTCCACAAAGAAGTTACCACTTCCTCTAAGTAAGATGCAGTTATTTTATTTTGTATATCCTTACTTCCCGAATAATTACGGTGTTATCTACAACCGAAAGAAGTTATTACTTCCTGAAGATCATAGTAACTGTGTTATCTATATCAGAAATAAGTTATTACTTCCTGAAACTCACAGTAACTGTGTTATCTATATCAGAAATAAGTTATTACTTCCTGAAACTCACAGTAACTGTGTTATCTATATCAGAAATAAGTTATTACTTCCTGAAACTCACAGTAACTGTGTTATCTATATCCGAAGTGAAGTTAGTTCTTTGTTTTCAGTTATATACACCCAAAGAAGGAGTTACTTTCTCAAAGTCGTATTTTGTGTTACTAGAATACGTTTGTTTTACGTATCTTGTGTTACTAGAATACGTTTGTTTTACGTATTTTGTGTTACTAGAATACGTTTGTTTAACGTATGTTGTGTTACTAGAATACGTTTGTTTAACGTATGTTGTGTTACTAGAATACGTTTGTTTAACGTATGTTGTGTTACTAGAATACGTTTGTTTAACGTATGTTGTGTTACTAGAATACGTTTGTTTTACGTATCTTGTGTTACTAGAATACGTTTGTTTTACGTATTTTGTGTTACTAGAATACGTTTGTTTT